TGCGCAATGGGTAAAAGAAACGTCGAAAAATCTGAGAGTTTCAATGGAAAAAAAGTAAAGCTAATTGAAGGAATAACACTACAAAGTTTAGTGGAAAATGACGTCACAAGTGAAACAACGTTACCCGGCTCAAATGGTAATATCAGTATTCAACACGACTTTTTTCAATATCCATGATTTTATTTTAATAATATTTGATTATTTCTCAAAATTAAATTGAATTATTATTTGAAGAAATATTCTATTTTTATTCAAAATTAGATAAAATTATCATTTAAAAAAATATTTCATTATTATTTAAATTTGCATTTAATTATTACTCAAAAAAAAATTTCATTATTGATTAAAATGAAAATTTTTCTATAATAAGAATAAATTCCTTTTTCAGATACACAACAACAAAATTCAATAACCACGCAATGCATGGATCTTGAATCTACTTCAAATAATAATAATAATTGTACTGATGGGAAATTCTATGGAATTGAAAGAATCGTCAATGTAAATCAACCAAGTCTTAATTTAAATCAATCCAAGCCAAGACCTAAAACAGCTGCAGAACGTAGTCGTGAATACCGGGAACGTCTAAGAGCAACTCGACAATAAAATCAAAATCATGTTGCAGCTCGGCCTGCACCAAAAACACCTGCAGAGCGTAATCGAGAGTACCGGGCACGTCTAAAAGCAGCTCCACAAGAAAATCAAAACCATGCTGTATCTCGGCCTGTACCTCAAACAAGGGGACGACAAGATGAAATAACAATAGATATATCAAGAGATTCTAAAGAAAGAAGCAAGTATAACGAATTAAAATTAATGATCTCCAGTGTCGAATTTGATAGTAATCTTAATGCAATGGCACACGCTTTAGATGAACTAGGAGACTTATCGGAATATTTGCAAAGGCGTAATATCACTCTTGTAGAAGTCGATTAAGCTATTAGAACAACAATTAGAGTATTTGATTCGATGGTTAGTGAGCCCGGACATAAATTAGCCGGCACTTTAAAAGCGATTGAATTGAATATTTAAAAAAATGTTCCTATTTATAATGGGAAAGTAAAACAAATTAATACGAGCAAATTATACAGAGGTTTAGCAAATAATTTAAGAAATTGGATGATAATAACTAATTCATCTCATGTAAGTCAATATGAAAAACATCAACAGGATATCATATATAATTATACGAATTTAATCGATAGTCTTAACACACTAGATCCAAAAAAATGGCCTATTTCCGATAATGATGAAGTTGAAAATATTACATTTGGAGATGATAAAATACGCCACTTGTGTCTCCACTTTCAATTAAATAAAGAAAATGATATTGTTCGGAGTTTTCCAATTTGTATATTTGAGGAGGAAAAGAAGGTGTTCCGAACGACTTACAAATACTTTTTAAAACCGTAGCTACTATTCGTATTTCTACAAGTGAGTGCGAGTGAAATTTCAGCTCAATGAATGAAATTATAACACCCCTCAGATCTTCATTAAATATTAGTACAGTCTCTGCACTTTTGTTTATTAACTGTGTTGGCCTTTACTCACAGAATTTCGTCCTAAAAAATATGTACGATCATGGTTAGTCAAAGGTAGACATTCTACTGATAACAATGCAAGTCGTAAACGTGAAAAAAAATTGACGAAAAATACTCAGCATTATGGAAATTATTATAAACTATGTATTCAATTTGAATTTTAAATTTTTTAAGCTTAAAATTAGTTATATTATTTGTATCTATTTAAATAATTATATTGTATTGTAAAGTTAACACAAATTAAAATAATAAAATTTAAAAATTAATATTATAATTTGCATATTAATTTTATGAACGTTCTCGTATGTAAAATTTTCCTTTTCGAGCACTGTATAAACCTCCAGGTGTAATAAATGCTAGTTTGTGCCTATCGGTTTTTCTTTACCGGATATTTAAAAAACCTTGTTGCATATCCATTATATTAAAATATTTTTCCCCTTCTAAATAATCAAAAATTGTTTGCATATGCGTAATTGGAAAGTTTTAGTGTGGTACTTGTTTATTTAACTGTCTATAATCTATTACTAACCTTTTTGTTCCGTCTGTTTTTTTTACTAAAAATGCTGGGCTAACGTAAGAAAAATTAGATGGAACAATTAATCCTACCTGTAATAATTCATCAACCTGTCTGAAGTTCAGTTTGTTCATTATGTGAATCTATAAGGGGGTAGGCTAATAGGATCATCTATTATGATAGGGACTGGTACATCACCTACGTCTATAGATCCATGACTTTGTGCAAAACAATCATAATATTTTTTTTCCAACACTCTTTTTTATTGGTATTGCTAATATTCTGGTAATTTGTTATTTATATCGAAATGTATTTTATTTTTATTCGAATTATATGTCGTGTTCGCGCGCTTATCAAATTATTATGCCATCCGTGCTGCCGGACTTTGGAAGGTGCGACCGCACCACCCCGCACCCACGGCGGCGATTACGACCTTTCCTGATTTCTATCAGTTCCACTCGTCCCGTCCATAATCGGTAAAACCGTATCATTATTGTAAATGAAATTAGGTAAATTATATTGTTATTTTTAATCTGTTGTTGTACGTCGGTTGCGATTTTTTTTCCGATGTTGTTTGTTCTGTTCGTATCGTCGTTGCAAATACATCCGTCCGTTTTGTCTTTTTTTTCTACGTGTCGTTCCGCCATTGAGGCAACGTTATTCTTTTTTTTACTACAGTAATTATTATTAGTATTATTATACCTATATTGTTGTCTGCCATTGCGGCAACATAAAATATTTGTTATTAACGTCACTAATTATTATTATTATTTTTTATACTGTGTCTGATTGATGCAACTTTAAAATTACCGTAAATAAAGGCCGTTTAATTACCAAAACCATCTCACAGTGGTCTAAAATTGAAATTAAATAAATTAAATTAAAAAAGATGGCCAAAATTGTTTATTTGTAACAATTACATTTCAAAGAGTGACTAAAAATATTTAAGTGATTTAATATACACAAACGATATTTCGTCAAAATGAAATGTATTTAAAATTAATTTCAATGCACTGTTTTTTTTCTTGTAATGAACCAGACATATTTTTAACAATATATTGTAACGTGCCAACCGTTTGATCCGTGAATTCAGTGCTAATGTCTTAGTAAACGCTTGGATGTAGGTGTAGTGAAGAATAATTAAGACTCTTTATAATAATTTAATTTATTAAATTGATAAAATTATTCTAACTACAATTTTGTAAATATTGTAAGTCCAAATAATTTGGATTATAGAAATTATTCTAAGTCCGGATCATGACATACACTGACGTGAAGGTGCTCAGTGCAGCACAGCCAAAACTTGTCTGATTTGTCCTTGTTTTCGGGTCCCTTTTATATCTGATATATGCAAGTGTGTGTGTATATAAAAATGATAATAAAAATATATTTCCCTATTGATTGTGAGTGTGTGCGCGCTATCTCCGGACCGTGGCATATTTATTGACGCAGATGTCCAGGATGTGGTCACTACTATTTCGATTAACTATTTTATTTCAATTTCCCATAAAAACATTTATGTGAACCCTTTCACTTGTCCTCGCTTGTGATTTCGATATTCTAATTTTCAGTGTAATAACCACGTGAACACAGTAATCTAACTTATCCACAGTTGTAGTTTTTGATGTTCACGGGAACCTCCTTGTGATGTATTTTATTATGTGACTACGCAGTACGTGACAATATTTATGGACATCAAATCGAATGATAACAGGTTTAAAAGTCATATTATATGTCACGGTAAATCACTACACACACAAATTAAATTTAAAACTTACTATAATATTAAAATGTTAAAGAAATAACAAAAAATTAGCAAAAATATATAGTTTATTAAAAGTACCAAGTAGATGGTTAAAGGCAGACAAGTTTACCGATCGCTCGTGGCGGTCGGTACATCATCCGCGAACGCTTCGTGATACATCGCCGTTTCCGTTCTTTTAATCAATCGGGTGTCCCAATTGATAATTAAACGTACGATGAAACCAGGGCAAAGGTGTGTGACGGGTAAGATTGCGGTATGCGTGAAACACGATCGTATCATAATAAATATCACTGTATCGAACGCACGAATACAACTATTTAAGTATATCATCGATTTCAAACATGTTAAATTCAATAATGTCTTATCGAAAGTAGAACAGATATGAGCAACTATTCTACACATAAACGTTTTCGGTATATTATCTAGTTATATTGTATGTATACTCGTATATGAGCGTGACTATCGTTGACTAAATAACTTAGGGTGGGTTGCATAAACGTCCTGTGGTGACATACCGAACCGTTATCGCACCGTTTACTAACGGCTCTGTAAATAAAAGTGGGTGTTGTTTGAACGCCCGATAGTGGTAACGGCTCTGTAAACTATCAACTACTGGACCTGTAAACTACAGATTGGATTTTGGTTCTGTAATTTACAGATCGATTAATTATATGAATGTTATTAATGTTATTGGTGACAATTTTAATAGTGAATTGTTAATTTAATTATTTGTTTAGACCAGCGGTTCTCAAACTGTGGTACGTGAAAGACTACATGGTGGTACGCGGAAGGCCGCATGGTAGTAGGACGGAAAATTAAAAACAATTAATATTAGATTCTTAGCGTAGCGATGATTTTACAATGTCGTGTGTTTTTTTTATACTCAGATAATGAAGGTATAGGTAATAGATTTCACGGGAAATACGTCAATAAATAAGATATCGTATATAATCATTGATATATTTTATCGCGTATGTACGTATATATTATAAAAGTATATATTTATATACTATATAAATTCTGATTATTTTATATCAGTATTAAATATTTTCTCTTCGGCCGTTTAGTTTTTTGGTGTTAGTCAACGTAAGCAGTTGAGTTTATCTCTTTAAATATTTACGTTCGTACATTATACATATTTTAGTACATTATTTTATATCAGTACTAAAAAAGTAAAAACATGGATAAGTGGCTAAATAGAGCAACAGACAATAAATCTACATCTGAAAACTGTTCAGTAAGTTCTGCTTCAATTTTGGGAAGCGCAAGTCAAGATGTGAATAATCCTATGAAAATAAGAAAATGTGTAAGGAAATATGAGTACATTAATATTGGATTCACGGTCATAGACGTAAGCAATGAGCCTCGACCTCAATGTGTTATCTGTTTTGAAATTCATTCTAACCAATGTATGAAACCGTCCTTATTAAAACGTCACCTTTCTACAAAACATTCGACGTTAGAAAACAAAGCAAAGTACTATTTCGTTCGAAAATTGTCAGAGATGAAAAGCACGAAAAAAATTATATCATCTTTTAGCGGTAGTACTGAAAAAGCAGTGGAAGCATCTTTCTTAGTAAACTTAAGAATAGCGAAGTGTGGAAAACCTCATACCATCGGCGAAGAACTGATTTTACCGGCGGCAAAAGATATGGTAACTTGTATATTAGGTGTTCCGTCAGCTAAACAACCTGATATGATATCATTGTCAAATGATACAGTTCGCCGCAGGATTGAAAGTATGGCATTGAATGTTAAGGAAAAATTAATTGATCAAGTGAAAAATAGTGATTTTTTTTTCCATGCAACTTGATGAAAGTACAGATGTATCAAACTATGCTCAACTAATGGTTTACGTACGGTATGTATTTCAAACTGTAATTAAAGAGGATTGTTTATTTTGCGAAGCACTATCAACACGAACTACCGCTGACGAAATATGTAAAAAGTTGAACCACTTTTTTGTTGAAAATGGATTAAACTGGAAAAAGTGTGTTGGTTTCTGTTTTGACGGTGCTCGAGCTATGACAGGTAAACATGGAGGTGTTGCGACTAAAATAAAATTGGTTACAGAAAATTGTACTTACATACATTGCAGCATTCACAAGGAATTTTTTTTCATTAGCCTTTGGATAGTTTTCTAATAGAACTGAATGGTACGAAGCATTATCCATAACAATTATAGATGGTTCCTCTAAATGTTGTAACATTTTTATAAACCACTCTTTAAAAATCGACGAGTTCATTTGTGTGTGAAAATCAACAGAATTACTACTTTGGTGTCGAAAAACTAACTTGGATCCAGGTACAAATCCAAATGAACTAGATCCCGCGTGGCAAATGATTAGTCTACTTCCTTTCCCCGTAGGTACTTTGAGCCCTTCCGAATTTAATTCATTTTGCCAAATATACCCTTTTGTGTAATTCTGATTGACCCACGTCTCATCTAAATAGATGACAGGCCGAGTATCATTATTTTTGCGAAGATTGACTATAGTACGCAAAAATTTTACACGCATAGCAACTATGTCATTTCGCTCCATCAAGAACCGACGCCCGTCATTGCATTTTTTATATTTAAAATTTATACTTTTTAAAATACGCCACATAGAAGTAACAGAACCTTTGTATTCAGTTCTTTTTTGATACTCAGCTAGAATTTTTAATGTAGTAGGGTACTCACGTCTATCGTAAATTTCGTGAACGATTCTTCTTACAATATCCGCATCAAAACCATCAACTTCACTTGCAATCTTTGCCCTTTTGTAAGTCTTTCGTGGGGAAGTGAATTTTGGGCAATCAGCCTGGGATGCAGAAGACGATTTATTTTCTTCCGCGGTGATACGTTTCACTGTTTTTTCACTTACACCACATGCTTCGGCAGTTTTTGTTTGTGTCTGTTTAAAGAAAGTGGCTATCTCCGGATTAGACGAGTCCATCGATAGTTTTTTAAAATATTTATACACATTGTAAATAGTATTTTTCGTCTGTGAATGTATATCAGAATGTAAAGACATTTTTTTAAAAAAAATAAACAAATTCTCGACGGTATTTGAAAAATATAAAGTGCGCGAAAACGATATCAACACGTGACTACGTCATATGAAATGTAAACAGAAGGTGTAGATTGTAGACTATGGGTATACACTACTATCATGGAACGGGACATTATATTATGACGTGAAGCGACTGTGACCATGGAAAAACAAGTATTTTAAATTTTTATTAGATGGAATAAAAAAAACATAAAGAACTATGGGTAGGTAAAATATACAATGACAATATTTTTATTTGGCCACCTGTTGTTGACCTGCAAATGTGGAGAACCACTGGTTTTGTGAAATAGTGTCACTAGTTGCGCCACTATCGAGGGCCACTTTTGCTGAAAACCACTATAGTGCAATTGATTGTACACAAATAAAAATTCAGTCACCCAATAGTAACATTGGCGAGAAATTACGAAATAGAAAATCTTTTTTATGAATGTACAAGTAGTGTGTAATAACCATATGCAATTTATAAATATTGTAGCTAGATGAGTATTAGCTAAGTTAATTTATGAAATGAGTTAGTACCCGAAAAGTTATTGAATATTATGAATACCCTTCATATCTTTTAAATTTTTGTATGCACATTTTTATAGGTGACCTGGTTCAGTTCATGACTCTACAATATTTAACAATTTATTATTATGAGCACAGTTTGAAAACAATGAATGTGGAAATTCCGTGCTTGTTGGTGATGGGGGTTACGCTTGTAGAAAATATATGATGACACCACTTGGAAATCCTACAAGTGAATCAGAACTACGATATCAGGTTAGCATAAAATAAATACAATTAATGATAAGTTATACTAATGAAAAAAATTGAAAAGGGGCTGGTATTTAAATAAAACATTGCTTAATTTTGTTTTAGAAAGCTCAAATTGGAACTAGAAATGTCATAGAAAGAACATTTGGTGTATGAAGAGGTGGTTCCCAGTTTTATCTCTAGGAATACGAACCCAAATACAGACTACTCTTACCACAATTATTGCTACCGCAGTGTTGCACAATATGTTAATTGCAACAAATGAACCACTGGTTATAGATGAAACATTACTTATTGCTGATATGTTGGATCAAGTTCCTCTATTGCCTGTTCGACAAGTTTATAATGCAGTACAAAGACATTTAATTGAAACTGATTTAACTGAAATTGAAATTTAATTGATTGTATTAACAAATATTTTGAACAAAATTAATAATTTTATAATAAAACCGACTTTATTTTTATAACCAGAACAGAAACAAAATTAATAATTTTATAACAAGAAATAAACATTAATTTTGTTTTATAATCATAATAAAATAAAATAAAACAAAATATAACAAACACAAAAAAAATAAAAAAATTGTAGAAACAAAATTAATAGTTTTATAACAAGAAATAAACATCAATTCTAAACGCTTTTCATTGTTTTATAAATTGAACAATTATAAATATTAGAATATCACATATTAATAATTGACTACTACGTATAAGTAGTATGAAATATTCAATTATTCAACATATTATGTTTTTGTAAGTTTAATATTTCCTCTTGGAGTAGCAATTGTTTTTTTTTAGATTCCATTTCTATTTTTTTGGTTAAAAGTTCTGTTTATAGTATTTCTAAGGTTACCTCCGCTGATTGTAGCTCCAATTTGGACTTTTTTAGTTTAATGTTGAAGCGGCACACTGGTGACGGTGTTGTGTGCGCGGGTCGCAGTTGCGGTGAACACAGTTAAATATGATAATAATAATAATAAAAATAACAATATCGGATACGTGATCACGCAGTATATTCGATTAAAAAAATGAAAATGACGGTCACACAGATATATATTAATTTTACCAAAAATGAAATAAAAAGGAAATGAGACGTTGAGTTAACCATAAATTATTTCTTTTTTATCTGTATTTATTTTTATCATTTATAACGCTAGAAAAATTTCAATCCGTTTTCATTAACCGTTTTTTTATATTTACTTGCCGATCACATTAAACAATAATATTTGAATAAAAAAATTCTACATATCATGGTCCGAAGGCAAAATAAACAACCAATCACGGGCGAAGCTGTGACGGGTCGGCTAGTAAATGATAAAAATAAATACAGATAAAAAAGAAATAATTTATGTTTGAATAATTTAAGAATTTGATTGAAGTTAACGAAGAAAAAAAAAGAAAAAAAAGAATTAAAATAAGAACTTTATAAGACTTCTGAGTATATGATGTGTTTTGTTATATTTCCTGTTAAAATTAAAATCATAAGATGATCGGGTCCCCAGTTCGAGAAAATGCCACGTATAATTGTCGTGAATGATAAATGCACGTGAAAAGCACTCTGTACGAAGATCTACGCCAACATACTTGAATGTTTGACCTTGCGCTTTGTTTATGGTAATGGAAAAAGAAACTTTAACCGGGAATTGAAGCCGTTTGAAAGAAAACGGCAAGTTTGAGGGAATCATGAGAATTCTTGGAATAAATGCAATTTCTCCTTTCGCTGGCCCTATAAGAACTACGGCTTCTATAATATTATTTCGCAACAATTTTATTTGTAATCTTGTACCGTTACATAAGTACCAAATACTATACCTAAACATTCCAGTTCTGTTGTTGAATAGTTATTTTCTGATTTATATAAAGTTCTACTCGCGTAAGCTATTGATAAATCCTTATCGCCATGTAATTGTGATAAAACAGCACCGAGTGCTTTCCCCAAAGCATCAGTGGTTAAAATAAATGGTTTATATGGTAATCTGGGTATCATATAATATCCAATATATCGACGAAAATTCTTGTTCGTTTCATATTTAACCAAAACAAAATCATGAAGATCCAGCTGAAATGTTTCGTTTGGTTGAATATACCTGATTGTTCGACTAGTTGATTATTTTCAGGGCTAACTTCAATTTCATAAGGATTAGGTTTGATAAATAATTCTTCATCGTTTTCTTCTCTATTTTCGAAATCTTCTACTCTAACACTCTTTCCTGGTTCAATTGTAATTTTTTTCCCTCTAGCCTTTGAACATTATCACCTAGACGAAATTCTTCTAAAATATCGACAAATGCATTTGACCATGATGAATTTCTCGTTTCCTCGGCAATTTCTTCATCCTCTGGCCTAGACTTTACTTTACATATCACACAATCCCTATTAAATAGTACAATCCTTGCAGCTTTGAACCCTGATTTCACATTTGACTCAAAAGATTCAACAGATTCTAATGATTTCTTTAACATTTGTGGAAATACGGCTTTAGTTTGGACACCTTTATTTTTTTTTTTCAATCATCCAACGTTTTGTGTCATGCTCATTTTAATGGTCGAAAAAAAGCGAGATCGAGAGGTTGACACACAGGCACGTCGTCAAGGGGGGGGGCTTAGGGGGCTTGGCCCCCTTGATTTTTATTTTTAAATATTATGGTGTATAATTAATATAATTATTCCAAACCGGCTAAATCCTAAATGTATATTATATGGTACTCTATATTAGGGTGTTCGTTATTTATAGAGGTACAATTTTTTTTTTTCAAATTTGTACTCCATAGCCCCCTATATTTGTTAAATAGCATAGTAAAAGTATAAATGTGAAACTCTACTATTATTGGTCAACTCCTTCACGTGCCCCCCGAGAGTTGAAGTTTGAGTAATAAGGGTTGTCGATCAATAATTTATCTTACGAAAAAATAAAAATTGGTTAAATATGCATAGAATAAAATTTATAAAAATTTTTATTCTACATAAGAATTATTCTATTCATAATTCTTGTCAGATAATTATTTTTTAAATAAATAACATTTTTAAAAATAAATTTACAAAAATTGGTATTTTAATGTTGTTTGTGTTATTAATGATTGTAAATGCTTTATCATTGTACATAATTGACAATTATTAAATATCGTGGTTAAAAATAAACTCT